TCTCTCCGAGCTCCGCAAATTGTGCTAGATTTCCCTGATAGAATAAGAAACACTGACCTGATCTATCGGTACTAATATTCATTCAGTCACCTCTATCAACGATGCTTATTGAAGTCGTTGGACAATCTCAAGAGACCGGATGGTGTAGTGGTGAAGTGCGCTGCTCTCCGGTAAGGACAACAGCGCGTGTTCGTTCCCCACTGCATACACCTGTGGTCCGGAGTTTTGCAAATATCTCAGCACTTCATACGAGTTAAATCTCAAGAGAATTAGTAAACTACGAAAGCTTTACATTTCATTAATTATCATTTATTTTGTAGTGTAGATGACATTAAGAGTCTTTGGATTCTGACGATAGTTTTCGTTATGTGCTGCTCGTCCTAATTATATGGAATTCATTGACAAGTCGGCGAGCGTCGCCCAAACTCGATTATTGCGGACCGCCGCAGCCGCCGGCCCCTATCCGAAAGCATGTGGTCCGTTGTCGTCTCGTTGTTATTCTATCCGTGTCCTAAACCGGATGCATTTTGTCGTCTAACGAAGAACTGGAAAAGAAGAATAGGTGAGGAAATGACGCTTGCCAACTACTCCTAAAGGGATTAAAAGCATTGGATATTAAGTCGCTGGTCGCTACAAGAGAGATTTTTTATACGACACCGCTTCTACAGTGGCGATCCCAGCACTTCTCACATTCGATTCGTTTTTTCGCATCCGTCATCCACGAAGATCTTTCAAGTTTTTACGTGCGGCTTCGGTTGCTGCTTGAGGATTTTCGTTTCATCTTGAATCTTGCAGAATGCTGGTTCAGAAATTCTTCCTGGAGTCCTGAGATAGCCAGGCTGGAGCGTTCCCAATTCGATTGGAGGGAGTGATTTTTTCCCGGGCAACTCCCGTACCAAATTCGCGTCCCCGGAGGGATGAGAGGTTTGGTTGGCCCAGAGCGGAATCGAGCTAGTACTATGCTCGTGTGACCGACTGAAGTGCATCTTTTTTTTTTAGAGAAAGCCGAACAAAGTACTAGAACTTCGTGAAAGTTCGTATTCGACTAAAAATAATGATGTTGTGACGTTAGGGTTTCATCCAAGTTGTGTCGAAATATTTGTCTTGAACGAGCGTCTTGGCACTATAATTTGTAATCGGCTTGTATAATCTACGAGAATTTCCTTTCGTTTTCACGATTAGAACTTCCTTGAAACAGTTCTTCTCGATCGACTATGGGAAAGAACTGCAAATGTCTTTTTCTTTCACTTTTTCCAACCATCGCCCTTGCTTGTCATTGCCTGGTGGCTATTTAGCATTAATCAACGATGTACAACAGGGTCTTTAGCCCATGCTGGCACCAATCAAGAAAAGAGTTCGAAATTTTTTCATTTGGAAGCACAACTAAGGGAAAGCCAGTTGATAGGATCGATGCCGTCTTGTCAGAAATATAATTGCAGGATTATAATATGGTAATCCTCGTTCCATTCAGTCAAGAAAAAATTTCACTTAACCAAAAGCGCCAATTAAAAGGAAACTGATGGTGAGGAGTTATTCAATTGTTGAGCACTTTGACATCATTGGAAATGATGTTCAACAATCAGTTGATGTGGTTTTCTGGTGTGTTTTTACAGTGTAGGCCTTAACCCTGACGATGATAAAGGAAAGATTAACAAGAAAACTCTTACGAATTACGTAAACAACTTGTTCCAACTGTGATAAGGAAAAACGAGTCAGAGAATGTGAACATGGAATGCCGTCGAGTGGATTTTTTCTTGAGCAGCTTGTGGAGACCATTGAGTTTTGTTCATCTCCACGCCATTAATGATTTTGTTCCATGAATATGAGAAGAACAGAAGAGTTGATAAATAGTTTTTTATTATTATTCGTTAGCTTTCTATGTTCAAGCAAACAAATGTCATCCAATTGGTATACCCATTTCTATGCACTCATTTGTTCTAATCCATAGCTCTTGCGCTTCGTCATCCGGTCAAGACAAAGACTGTGACGTGACCAAGAGAACTAAAACCTCGGAGTAGCAACATTGACACCATCACGAAATGTTCGATTTTCGTAATTTAATATATGTGTACACAAATATTTCTTTTATTTAATCCGTCTTGACGTCCACTGTACGGATCCCAGCACTTCTCACAACCATCGTCCACGAAGGTTTTCCAAGTTTTTGCGTGTGTCTTCGGTTGCTGCTTGAGGATTTTCATTTTATTTTGAACGTCGTAGAATGCTGGTCGAGCAATTCTCTCTGGAGTTCTGAGATAGCCGAGCTGGAGCGTTCCCAACTGAACTGCAGAGGCTTATCTTTTCCCAGACAAGTTCGGTACCAATTTCCCGACCCCGAAGGGATGAGAGGCTTGGCTGTCCCGGAGCGGAGTCGAACTAGCACCATGCTCGTGATGACGGACATCATTACCACTGTGCTATCCGTCCTGCTGTACATAGATATACATAAATATATAAAGCCACGCACAATGACGTACTAGTCATGTAATGAGAAGTAAGTTTCTGACATTTTTGGCATTATCCGTCATCACAGCTTCTGTGTAGATCCCAACACTTCTTGCATATGTGGTAAAAGTGGTAAAGTGCAGATCATAAAAATGTAAACTTCTCCATACATGGTGGTTTTCAGGACACTCACGTTGATCAGTTGTACGTATAAATGAACACTTAAGGATCAGAAACAGGAGCTCACGAAGCAAACGCGCCACCTCACGGACGATGAGAAGTACACCAGGAAGCGGAATTAGTTATGATTCTGGTGAATTATACCTACACCTTGAACGAACGTGGGCAGGTCAAGGTTAAGCCGGCGTATTAATGTATAAAGTATGTAAAAACGGTAAACGTTCGGTGTTAATTAATGGGATGTGTCATGCATTTGACTCCAGTTATAGGAGTTCTGACCCCTGTTTGGCCTACGCAATAAATTTTGATTTCTTACCGATACATAAGGCCAATGCTCTTATCTTTCTAGATCTAATAACAGTTTGTCCACCTCAAAGCAATGATGACGCAAGATCGAACCAACGAGCACGCGTGTGCCGCTGGACACCTCTACACCTCTACCACTGCATTGCAGTAGAAACTATTAAGCATCGCACAATTACAAGTTTAAACGGAAGGATAAAATAGACATAAACTGCAAATTCAATAATATGCAAGCCCAGCAAACTAATATAATAGAATATATTTTGTTTGACATGCCGCAAAAATAGATTTAGCAAGTGGTTTTTTATTCCTTAAAGTCAACTACTTGAATCACTTATGTTCAGCAGAGTGATGTGATTTTAAAAATACTTTGAATAATAAAGCAAACAAGGCCAGAACACGCCAATCATCAATTTTTCCTGGAAGGACTGAAAAAAGGAACGCCAATATGAACCGCCCATGCGCTGTGAATTACGTCTTACGAACTGAAGCAAGCATCTCATCATCTGGATGGGTGGATGCGCTGTTGGCCGGCAAGCTGGTGATAACTGTTAGATTCGCCCAAGTGCTATGAGCTTTTTCTACCTTTTTTCCAGTGATATGAGTTTTTCTTCTTGATTCGCATCGAGTCTTCGATACTACAGTATCCAATTCGCTCTGTTCTTCTCTTTTCCCTTCGGGACCAACAGCTTTGTTCTGACATGAGTCCAATCAGCAGCAACAGTACTTTACAACCAAAAATTCACTAAGCGCTCTACCAATCACTTTTTCGAACAGCAAAACTGTGACGTTACTAAAGTTATTGCGATTGTAATTCTGTTATCATTTCATATTAAAGAAATATTTTATGACTTTGTTTACATATAGCGTTTTCTATGCTCTTCCCGGCCATTGATCGGTGTGAAGCTTTCCACTTTCTGAAGGTCTATTTAGACTTTTTATTTTTTTCGTTTACCATACTGTCTTTACAATTTTAATGGAAACTAGTATTTTTGTTCTTTTATTTCTATTTTACACAATCCTACATCAGCTATTTTGCGGATCCCCGCACATCTTTCACTTCATTGATTATCTCGCATCGGTCATCAACAAGCTTCTTCGGATTCACATGTGGATTCAGCTGCTGCTTGAGCATTTTGATCTTGCTCATAAATGTCACTGAATGCTCGAGGAGTAGCTTTTTTGAGAATCATGGAATAGTTGTGTTAGAGCGCTTCCAGATCTTCGCTGCAGGTATTCACTTGCCTTTGTGTATTGGAGGAGTTCTCCAGACAAGAATAATACCAATCTACTTTAATATGAGACTTTAAAACCACTTTTAAAAATTGCTTCAGATGAAAAAGAAGGTAAGAACTACTCTATTTTTGACCTCCCCAAATGCGGCTGCACAGTGGCGGGATGGTACTCGTCCGCGTGACAGAATTAAGTTACCTATAATTGTTATTTGTAAAGGATCACTTTACTTTATATTATTTTATCGATCATTTTACCACCTTGAGGAGATAACTATTTTAATTAATAGTTGATTAGACTTATTGAACGATAAAGAAAAAAATGAATGAGAGAAGAAGAAAAAGAGGGATGAGCGAGAGGGGTTGAGTGTTAAGAAGAATGATAAATGATCGAGAAGAATAGAGTGCTGAGAGGATGATACTGCAGTGTTTCATTAAAACAGTTCACTGATTTTTTTGTTCCTTCTTTTCTTCCTGTTTTCTAATTATTCCTCTCTACTTGTGTGCTCTTATTCCATTAGGCTTAGCACTTATACGCATTCCAAATATTAACCCGTTCATTGATTTGCTGTTTTCTTATCGTTTATCTGAGTAATAAATCAGCACCTATTCTTATCATTGTTTATCAGCATGATAATAAAGGTATAAGAGTCGGAAATCTCGAAAACACGTGGCTTCACTTCCCTCATCTGCTGACGAGGCGCGGCCACGTTTCTCCACGTGCGTTTCAGCGTCGTCGTCCCACTGTTGAATTAGGCGATGGTTCCAAGTCACTACCTCGTCTCGTCGTTGTTGCATTCTTCTCATCAAAAGTGATGTTTGTGCGTTTTGGATTTCAGGATGACTATGGGGACCGAGTCTCCGATTGAATGGTCCGATGCGCTTGAGAAAGACTTCGACAAAGCGTTTGTCGCTCTCGATTTGCTGCTTGGCGAAATCGATAGTGATCAGGTGAGTGATTAACTAGCCGACGATTGTTCACAAGCAGATGATAAGTGTAAACGTCGTTTTGGTCGTTCCACTTGTGTTTCTGAAAGAATCGTTCGTAATCGAGACAAGTCGTAATAACACGCTACACCGAAATCGTGAGGACGGCAAATTTCGTTACTTGAAAGTGAGATTAAACAAAACGTTCTTGGCTTGTAAACTTTATATTTTTATCTGATTTCGTGTTTAACCCTTTCATGGCGGCAGAAAATTTCATGTAGTAGGCCCATCGGACGAAGTGTCAATGGAGTGCGATTGGCGTGCGCATTGAAATCAAGATGTACTGTCTGAAATGTGCAGCATAAAGCAATACATATAGCAATCAATGCACATTATCACGAAGTAGTTGGAGTGCTTTTTATAATCACTTTGTAAATTTAAATTTAATATCTTCCTGGATCATTTACGGTGAGCCCGTCGTAACGAGGAAGTGTTGCCGAATGTCGAACTTTGGTGTACAGTTTCGTGATCATCCCCAACGCAAGATTAGTAGTAAAACAGAGGAGGAGTTTAACATATTTTTCTCCCGAAACTTAAATAAAAAGCAAATCAGTGCCAGAAATAAATGCCATCTTGGCAGAAACCTCTTCGCAAGGTGACAAAACTACCTGCAAGGACAACGACCAGTCTGCACCTGGGGATGACGACTTAGAGACGACCTGACACGGATTTCTTAAGTCTTCAAAGAATAGATTTTAGCTTAACCATATTAACCAACTAGAAATTATGCTTGGCATTTACATTACGGTCAATGAAGAAAGTCGTTCAAGCATAAAGGACTTATTATATCAGCACAATATTGATATGAAATGACGTCATATCATGTGAGGTAGATGCTTGGGTAGTCGTCGTTTCCTGTTCGTTGTGGTAAGCTAGATGAAGACAGTAGATCCACGGTTCAAAAACTCGGATGAAGAACTCAAAATGAAGTTGAGGAGCGATAAACTTCGAATTTAAATATTTCTTATTAAGCATCTACTTGCTCAGGTACTTAGATGACTTGTCTTCGTCTGTCTTGCTAACCCCAATGCTTTTCTTCAATCTTTAGTTGTCTTGTAATTCTACAGCTGCGCTCGAGATCTTATATGATTTCGGGGCTGCAACTTCAGTATTTCTTCTCTTGAACGCTGGTCGAACGTGATCTCTCTTACTAACCTGAAATAGCAGGGATGGGACGTTCTTAGTTGATCACCACAGTTAAATTTCTGGCTTCTATGAACCATCGGAAAGTTTCCTTCTTCTTTGACCCTCGGATTTCTCCACAACTGCCCTTCCTTTAATAGCGGCCAATACTGCGAATGGGCGAGCGACCGTAGTAAAGCAACCTAATCAGCCAACCAAGTAACGGGTATGCAGCAACTTTGCTTCGCTTGTTCAGCGTGATGCTTGCGCATTATTTCGTCGAAAGGAACAAGGTGGAAATTCGGTGCCCAGTACATTTCCGATAACATTTAGACACGAAATTCAACGGTTTCAAAAACGGTCGAGCTAGGATTTTTGTAGCTTTAATAGCCATTATGTTATCTAAATTGTGACGCTATATAGTAGCTACAAAAGGAACTTTACATCTGTTCCTAGTTATAATATTGGTAATGATATCAACATTCCACCAGGATTTTACTGGCTTTTTTCAGGTAGAGATCACATACGAAGGTCGCCAGAAAATGACGTCGTTGAGCGCCAGCTTCGCACAGCTGATGCATAAAGCCCAATCCATGCATCATGCCATAGCCCGATATGAGAAAGTCAGTCAAACTGAATAAGCTAAGCGATTTCACGTAGAACACCATGATGTTCATCACAGTAACGGCATATTTATGTAATGGAAGATAACGGTGATGGCATGTGTAGTTTTTCATGTTTCCGAGATGAGCCACTAATGGTTTCCTAAAAGGGGATCTACTAATGACAACATTTCAGCGGATGATAAATTCAGGCAATGATTGTGTCCCTTCGTACTGCAGAGTGAGTAATTGCCGATGTGTCGGCTCGGAAGCTCTGGAAGTTCACCACTCTTTGACAGTTTAATAATTTTATCATGGTTTAATACTTTGACAATAGCTTCATCCTTACTTAAAGCTTTTTCTTTCTAATGTTGAGAAATCATGGAAGACTGTAATTAGAACACAGTGAAATCCTCACTAATTCTTCATAGGTATTCACACTTGTGGCCTTTATGTCGCTGATGGTTGTGTGAGAAACTTTTCTGGAAAAACAGTGTTTCATTTAGAATACGCTCTGCTGAGTTTTTTCCGCCCCGTTTCCGAACTAATTCCTGTTTGCAACGACTTCGGTACTAATGATGTCTCCAGAGTCGATAGTTTCCTTGTTGCAAAAAACCCTAAGGTGCCGTTGAACTGCACCAGAAGCTCTGTAGCAGCGTAGGTAAGACTCAGGCGCTTCACACCGCTAGGCGACTCCGGTCCGTTTCATAGAACTCTCCTTTTTCCCTTGAAATTTTACAACGTTGTTTTGAAAAGTTTGTCCCAATGTCGTGGCGAAGTAGTGGCGAAAAGACGTTTGGCCAGTTCAAACTAATGAAACAGTGGTATGGTTGTTCTTGTAGGAATTTTTTTCCCTTTAGTTTTTCAACTGGTGTGCGAGAGGTTCAGTTTGTAGAGACTGTCGTGAAATCCCAATGTTTTGAGTAGCCGTTCGAACTTAATCTTTTACCCAGACTTAATTTTCCTGACAAAATTTGTATATTCTTCACAGCACTATCACTTCCAAGATTGCGCAGTCACATTCACGTCGAAAAAAATCATGCCAACGCAGTTTCTACTGTGCCAAATCTTTTCATTGTTGGGAAAATGTTTTTGCTCCTTGGATGTCCAGCGAGTCAGCCGTCTCGAAGCGATGCTAGCTGAGCAACAATGACAATTACAGGCCGTTATGGGTGGGAGAGAGAATAGCAATCTTGCGGTTTAAATTTCTAACGATGCGGTTGTAATTAGAGGGCTTAGATAGCCTTTATGGCTGAAAAACCTTGAACTTTCTTCTAAAACCGGGTTATCTCCTCTGGAGATGGATCCTTGACTTTAAATCACAGTTTGACAATCTTGAACATCTCCTGTCCGTGTAGGAAAACCATAGGGCTTCGTTTACACTCATACATTTACTAGCGTGTACTTGAACGCATGCTTTGTTATCAATTGAATTCTTGGTCAGTACAACCGACCAATGCGGGTGACGCAGCGGGACAGGTGTAGGTCTTAGAGCTTTAGCTAGTATGACATGACTATAATTGTTTGTATGTTGTCATATTGCCAATCGCCAATTAAATGCGTTATACGAGCCAATCCACTTTTCCGAAACAATAATTCACGGAAACTACTATTCAGTTCCTTTCAGGAGATGGCTGTTTTACGACGAAATTTAACTGAGGTTCGAGCTAATCGTGACGCTATGGAGAAAGAAATGCAACAGCTTATGCTACAGGTAATTCATTTCAACTTAACTTAATCTTTAAAAAAAGTGTTTATATCGTAGAATTTTATCTTCAGTCGTTATTTTAAATCGAAGTTGCGAAGAAAAATCCGTTCATTTTTTGCGAGCATCACAATTTTCTGTTTCTTTTCTCCGCCGAGGAGCGAGTGTGGCGCAGTGGTCGGAGGCGCTCTGCAACACACACGTGTAATCGATTTCCGCGCCCATAGCCCACCAAGCCTTCCCTCCCTCCGGGGTCGGCAAATTGGTGCTGGATTTGTCCAAGAGTATAGCAGCACTGGCTGAATGATCGGTCGACCACCGCGAGTCATTTGAAAAGCCAGATATGCATTTAATCACCTCCAAACGGCGCTTGACGAAGTCGAATGCATGGCGCATCTCTAAGGGATCGATCAACACCGAGAGCTTGATCCTTTTAATTTTATCATACCGAAACCAGTAAAGAAAGCCCTGGAATTAACAACTGGCATAATTTCACGTGACGCAGAACAACCTTCTTAGTAGATATCTAAGTATTTTATGCCAGTACACTTTCTATACCCGTTCCCACAATAGACGAGGTGTACGGTAGTGGTATATGTACGTGCGAGAAGCTCTCACTCTATCTTTCCAAACATTTCTTCACAGTTACTTAGAGCGTACGCTTTCGTTGTACTCTAACAGCTTCTCTCTTTTTTCACTTATCCACCATGCGGTGGAATTTCGCATCCAACGAGTAGATGTGAAAATCATTAATCATCTGCTTCTTGGAGTATAGCAGCTATTTCCTGATGGAAAAAAACAGCAATCGTTATTGCACGAAAACGATTTATTTAAGAAAATCGTTGGCAGCTGACTCTCTAGAGAAAATTTCAAACAAAAGAAAGCTCTCACGGACATACATTGCTCGGCTACGATTATAAACAGCTGTACTACGATGTAGTTTTTTGGTGTCAGCCATTATTCAATTTCTAGGCAGAGTATTCTATAGAACTGAAATAAGGAACACCTAATAAAAATAGAAACAGATATTGCACATCTGCTGATCCCCGTTGTCTTTCCCAGAACGGCCTGCGAACTTGTGACTTGGGGTTTGGGAACATTTGGCGAAAGAATTGCGAGGATTCTGGAGGAGTGTAGCATTTGACTATTTCTCGTGTACGTTTTGGCTTTAATATCTCTAAAATTGGAGCTTTTGACTGCAAAGAATACGGTACAATGGTGTGATTATGATTGGAATGTTCACCTATTTTTCAACGATTTCTGAATGGAGTTAGTTATGTAAAGTGAAAGGAGTGTACCCAGCCGTGAAAAATTGTAATAGGCAGCAAATAAAAAGGTGAAGATTGAGATTTCAACTTCAGCCTCAGCTTAAATGGGTTCATTGCTGATTAGGGTTTCCCAGGTCAATTCCGTTGATGGGCGGTTGCTGATGTCAGGAATCGAGAGAAAACTAGCTGAGAGACAGCACGCGAAAAGACTAGCATGGTGTGGTGGTGAATGCGCCATTCCCCAGAAAGCGTAACAGCGCGTTCAGTTTCCACCGCAGGCACCTATTTTCCAGAGTTTTGCAAATATCTCAGCATCACTATGGTTGAAAGGAGTGTACCTCCAGCTTTTTTTTGCCACTTTATGTAAGTTCAATACTTGATCTACTTATGGGCAGCAAGTTTTTTCTCACATAGTTCAACTCTTCTTTAAAGAATACTGCTTCTTGTGGAGTACTTGTGCCCCGCCAAGCTTCATAGGTTTATGAGATTATTACCAATATCCGAATGGCACGTGCTGCGCAGTGGTCGGAAGCTCCCTGAGACACACACGTGGGATCGATCTCTGCGTCCATGGCCCACGATGCCTTCCATCCCTCCGGGGTTTGCAAATTCCCACCAGACTTGTCTGGGAAGATAGCAGCACTGGCTCGATGCATCGGTAGGCCACCGCGAGTCATTGTAAATGCCAGGTATACATTCAGCCACCTCCTACGATTCTTAATGAAGTCGAATGCATGGTGCATCTCTCAGAAATTGACAAACGCCGAAAGCTTTGTTTAGTACTGTAGTTCAATGAATAAACGAATAAGGAAAACATTAGATTGTGAACCGTAGTCACTCGGTATTTACCGTATAAAAATTGCTTAGCACTTGTGAAAGTACCATCACACAAAAACATAAAGGAACAATCGATCTCTCACAGAAACCACCTTCATATAACATTTTTGTATGATCCCACATGATTTATGATGCGTATCCTGGCACTTCTTTCATTCGACTATTATTATTATTATTATTATTACTATTATTATTATTATTATTATTATTATTATCATTATTATTAACTTATTATTATCATTTAGTTATTATTAATTATTATTATTTATATTATTTATACTATTATTATTATTATTTATTATTATTATTATTATTACTATTATTATTATTTATTATTATTATTATTATTATCATTATTATTATCATTATTATTATCATTAAATTATTATTTATTATTATTTATTATTATTATTATTACTATTATTTATTATTATTATTTAACTTATTATTTACTGTCTACTGTTTTTAATGGCAGGGTATATATTGCGGAATATAACTTCAACGATGCTGAGACATTTGCAAAACTCCGGACCGCAGGTGTTTGCGATGGAGAACGAGCGCGCTATTGCCCCTTCCGAGGAGTAACGCGTTCACCACCACACCATGCGGGTCCTTCGTTTCGCTTGTCTCTCAGCTAGTTCTATCGATCTCTGCCATCAACAATCACCTGTCAACGGGATTGATCTCAGGAGCCCAAATCGGCAATGAATCCAGTTATGCTCAGGCTTTCGTTATAATCACAATCTCAACCGTTTTATTTCCCGTCTACTCTTTTTAATGGCAGTAAGAGTTCCTTTGTGCTATATAATGTTCCCTTCCTTTGGCAAAAATCTCTTTCCTGAATTCTATCTGGGATAGACTGTCGTTTTGGTCATCACCAAAGGGTCTGCTAACATTTGTTGTTCAAAGGAACACAGGTGGATACAGGGATTTGTTCCGCAGCGGCAACAAATCTCGTCATAAGTTTACTCTCTGCCGAGGTAAAAGAATAAATGATACAACCTTCATTACTAATCAGTTCGTTAAGGATGAGTCACACTTCGACACCATCCGTAGCATCGTAGAGGTGATTAAATGGATATCTTATCCAACTGTTATCCATCAGACACCACCAGGCATGCTACCAGGCGCGACTCATTGCTAAGGGGCTCGCCAACCGTGCGGTGATCCTGCGACCCACACCACTCACTCACATCTAGCCACGCCTCTTAGTACGGCCATGCGTTGCCTACTGATGTATCAGCCAGTGTTTTTATCCTCTCAAACAAGTATGATACGAATTTGTACAACATATGAAGAGAGAGCTTGGTCTGCTTATTGCGTGGGGTCGAACGAATGGCAGTCTGTGCTTTCTGAAATATCCTGAACTACTGCGCTAAACACCCCTGCTTCAAACTACAAAGGCTTTGGGTGCGAATTTCGAACCGATTCTCAGCGAAGGTCACTATATTCTGGCAAGATGAACTCTCTTGAACATGTAAATCACACTTCGATATTCAGGAATACCACTTCTTCTAAGAATAAGGTGGTACGCCACCAAAGGACCAGTAGCACTTAATTACATAACCGTGTTAAACTAATTGAATATGTCATTGGATATATACAGTTGATGACTTCGTTTAGGTTCACCGTCTTCAGTGTGAACTACACGCGAAAACCGCACCACATGAGTCCGACATGATCAAGAAAAAGCTTGTGAGTAAGGGAGTACCTCTCCTTTTGTGCCTGTTTTTTTACCATCTCCTCATGGATTTTTTCAAAATTTAATCTGTTCCGTAACCATAATGTTGCTGAGATACATACAAAACTCTGGACAGCTCCTGTCCGCGGTGGGGAACGAACACGCTATTACCTTTTCCGGGGGCTAACCCGTTCACCACTACGCTATGCGACTCTTTTTGTTTGCCCTGTCTTTCAGACGCGTTATTGACCTATTGGTGCTATCAACAATCACTTGTCAACGGGATTAGTCTGGGAAGCATAAGTCAGAATGAACTCACTTATGTGCTCTATGTTTCTTTCATAATACGTGAAACCATTTATTGATCAATGTAAAGGGAATTTCTTAAAGGATCCTAAACCGGAAACGAAAAGATCTACGAATAACACAAGCATGAAGAAATACGAAGAAATCAAATTCTCTGTATAATGTTACTTAATCTAATTAAAGATAAACGGAAACACCCAATCCCTTTTATTTTGCTGAATCAACAAATTTAAAGCAAAGGATGAGGGAAATCACGGATCTCCCTCATATGAGGGATCTTGCCCCGGTTAGTCGCGACGGGGAAGATGCCGTTCTCGACAACATCGGCGAGGAATACGATCGGCTCATTCAACATATTCATGTTAGCGCTATGAAAGCTTAAAGTTCGAACCAGCGTGGAATCGCACGAGCTTCAGGCAACCGCCAGTTCAAGGCCTCATTTGCAAAACAATGCAGGCAGATGACAAAAGATCTTAAAGAGAGAAGAGCAGCAGTTATGGTCGAAGATGCGGGCGCTGAGAAAGCATTCGTAATGCCCATCGAAGTTTCATTAATTACAAAGAGGAACGAATGCTTGCCGACTTTGATAAAGCCTGTGGAAAAACAGATCTTCGACTAAATCTCACAAAACGATGTTCACAAAGAACGGATTGGTTTCGTAAGCCCCAATCACGCTCAACGGAATGAATATCTCCGAATGCTCCAGCTATATATATCTAGATCGGGAAATCAATATCATGATCGACCTAGCTTCAGAGCTGAGCGGAAGGAAACGAGCGGCTTGGAGAGCTTTCAAGAGCATCGAGGATGTGAGGATGTAGTGGTGAAGAGAGCAAAAAACACCCGACTCCGTGCCAATCTTTTGGTCTCAATGGTACTTCCTGCCCTAATGTGTGTGTGAGAAACCTGGTCGCTGCGTAAGCATGGTGAAAGGTCACTCATCTCTAGTGAATGCGCAGTCGAAAGAACGATGTTCGGAGTATCCCTTCTCACAGAAATAAGGGAAGGGATCCGAAGCTACGACCTGCCCCAACGTCCAAAATTCAAAATTTCCGTTCTATATGCCAAACACCCGAAGATGACTTGTGCCTGAAACGTAATTCGTGTGAACGACAACCAATAGACAACAGCCGTTAGTGATTGTATTCCTTGGGAAGTCAAACGTGCTGCGGTAAGATCACCGACTCGTTGGTCAGAAGAGTTGCTCACGAAAAGCCTGTAAGAAAAGTATGATAATCAACGAGTCCCTAGAAGAAGCAGAAACCACTAGGCTACTCTTGCACGCGACATGGAAAAGTGGAAGATTCACTAGCGCCCGCTCGAGTCCCTCGACGATCAACGGAACTGTAGGTGATACAGGTGAGATTTGATGACGGAAAATGTTCTAACTTTGAAGTTAAACTTAAGAAAAACTCGATACGCTTTTTTTGAACACTTTGCTGGCAGGAATGGATTTAAAATATATTTTTTCCAACTGTAAATGATTAGCTTATTCCGCGTTAAGCAAAAGGTGCTTGATAATGTTGTGCAATGCTTTAAATGCGATAACGGCATACCATCTTCAACGCCATTAATCATTACTATGTTGTTATTTTTAACGCTTCAGCTATTATTCGGATTTTTAAAAAGTTGAACCTTTATGTGATTAGTTGCTAGATGCTTCGGATTTTCAGGACAGCCAAATCGGACAACTTCACGAAATGTTAATGCCATCGTTACGTACCGAATGCGAATTGGACGTACTTCGGAAGGAGTGCGTTCGTCAACGGAATCTGATCGGAGCGCTCGAGAATGAGGTGTTCGGTGCACGCCTGGCAGCCAAATACCTGGACAAGGTGAGATCCTCCAGCTGATTAGTCTAAATGATTGTTCGATTTGACCGTCTAAATGGTTTTTAAACATGAAGGTGGAAGAAAGAATAAAAATCAGAATTTAGTAAATACCTCCAGGGAATCACTATAGTTCACTTTTTTTTGACAGTATTGCTGTGTATTAAAGGGGAATCGATTTGTGACTTAGTCTGTTTATATTTACTGCAACATTATGCGTTGTTCAATGCAGTACAGGTTTATTAGACTGCAGCTTAGCGTGCTCAATACTCATTCAGGAACTAGCTGGTAGAATCCAGCAGATCCAGTTGCTCGGACGGAACATGCGTGGTGTGGAACACGATCGACTGTGGAATCAACTAGAGGCCGAGATTCATCTACATCGGCACAAGACCGTGATTAGAGCTTGTCGGTAAGTTGAGATCGATGGAGGTGATGGAGTAAGGAAATTTCCGCCAGCACCATCCTGGTGTTGGTAGCTGAAGTATCCATGCCTTTGTCATGGCGGATGTACGCCGTCTCTTTAGGTAGAAATATTACAGTGACACTTGGAGAATAATGTTGTTTATCCTTCACTCTAAACCATATTTGTGGAATTTGACAGATCAGACACTTTAGAGAGAAAAGAATGTCGAAATTGCCTATTGATTTCTAGTCAGCTGATTTTCGATGCATTAGAACTAAACCTTTATGGACGGCTAAACGGAAACATTTCAGAGGCAGAGGTCAAACGAAAGGTTTGCCAACCCCACCGATTAACAACTGTAACCAAACGAGCAAGAGGAAGAGAGGAGTCGGTGAGACGAGGAAGGTACTAATGGCGAAGGAACCACATGAAGGGCTTGGGATTTCCATTACGGTATCGTATCTTGTGTTTTTCTCTCATCGATACTGTATAGGAGTCTTATTGCGCTTACCACTTGTAATCCTTTTGGTGTACAAGTGATCCAAAGGCTAATAATTCGTTCTTTTCGCCCAAAATTGCTTCCTTCTGTATCATCAAATTTTTCGCATGGCGGCCTTTGAGCAGGTAATATCAGGCAGCTCTGATCTGTAGATATGGTAGCTATAGGCGTATTTGTTTGAGGTGACGTAGTTCTTTGAACGCAAGATTTTTCCCTAGACGAGGTGAAACATACTATCCGTATTCACCAAACTCTATATTCAGATACAAATGAATGTGCTCACTTGAATCCAGAATACATAGTTCAATTCGCCGTATCCGAGTGGGCAGCCGATCTTCTCAATTCCTCTTAGCCTCGAAACAAGTGAAAGACAGTTTTTAGTCGGCATTTAACCCCATAGCCAATAGCTGAGACGTCCAACATAATTTCATGGAAGCCTACCTCGAAATTCGCAGTGTAAGCGAGATCTGTGCAGCAATTTGGTACCAGGCGAAACTCCTACAGCGCCTTTCATTATCAAATATTCATTCTTCAGTGACATAATATTTCAAAAGATGGGTTAAATAGGCAAACTATACGAATACGGCAACATCCATAATATTGCACCTATTGAAAGATATTTCGTTGTTTGACGAGATATAACATTAGAATAGAAAAAATAAATATGAGAAGGATTGTTGATGTTTAAGGGTGGCGCAGAACACGCGCTTCCGATTGTAATCTCCGAAATTCAACCTGGACAACCGGCTCATCGATGTGGGCAAATCTTCGTCGGTGATGCGATTTTGTCTGTGAATGGTTTCGATCTTCGTAATGCTAAGCATCAGCAAGCCGTCGATATTCTGAGCTCTCAGGTATATGCATTAAAAGCAACGAATGTGAAGAATTTGAAGGAATTCGGCTGTTTTAGCACGGTGATCTTGAAATGGAAGTGGTGTACGTGGCACCAGAAGAAGATTCCGATGATGACGGAACTGTGCTCATAGAGGATGCCGACGGGCGGATGTGAGTACTTCATTCATTCCCCAGCTTACATATTCGTAGTTTCCATAGCCACCGAATTCACGAGGCACATTGGTCGACCCAATAGGAAATTGTTTATCTTGTAATCTGGTAAATTTTCAAGCAGTCAGCAGCTGACATCGGCTATCTGAGTCATTTGAGAGTTTACCAGCTTACTCAGCTTACAACATACTAAGCACAATTGGTTGGAATCACCGCCAACAATATTAATGAAAATAAGAACATTACCATGCGATCACCTCCGCAGGAATGCTTTTGTTCTCTCTAAAGTAGCTCAGAAAGATGTAAGGACGCGTGTGGCGCAGTGGTCGGAGGAGCCCTGCAACACGTACGTGGAATCGATCCCTGTGCCCATGATCCACCAAGCCTTCTATCCCTCCGGATTCGGCAAATTCGTACCAGACTTGTCTGCGAGGATAGCAGCACTGGCTCGGTACATCGGTAAACCACCGCGAGGTAACCAAGGCCAGATATGCATTCGATCACCTACAAACAATGCTCAGTGAAGTCGAATGCATGACGCATCTCTCAGGGAATTATACGCTGGGAGCTTTATCCTCCTATCATTGTTTTTCTTGTTCAATTCTAGTTGATTTTCTATTTGTGGTAGTTCGGAATTTTGCCGTTTCTATTTGTTTATCTGATTCGTAACTTTCAGCTATAACATGTACAACAATTCAGTTGAGGAACCGTCGTCTAGTCGGTCGTCTACCGGTTCTCACCAGAATTCCGAATGACGCTAAGATTCTTCACCAGCGAACCTATCGGACGCTACTGATTTCTTTGCTTTTGTCTCATGTATCATTCTTTCATCTCAGAACTCACTCTTTCCATAAAAATATGGGAGACATTGATCTGACGTGTTCCTAAAGTGTGCTAGGTGTCTACTATAGGCTTGGCTATATAGCGTCTTGTGGTCGGTGCATAAGCTCAAGAAACTATTACCAGCTTATTTAGGACGGTGTTGATAGATGTTTAATTAAATTTAGCCATAACGCTCATTCCATGAAGAACCTTAGCTCGTCCTCCTCCTTATGAACGTTTAACAAATACGGTGTTTTGAATGTCGCAATCGAATCCTCTACACCCTCAATGAACGGGAGTCGATCAGATTTCACTTTATCTATATTAGACCTCTATGATTTTAATTGTACCAAGCAAAAAGCCGCGTTCTGTGTATTGCCATTTATTTTTCCTATTAGAACTTGAACTATTACTTCGGTGCCAAATCCAAACTGCCGGGCAACATTAGGTACGGGTATGAGCATAGATGCTAATGCATGTAGTATGAGTGTACTTGGAGCCGAAGTTAATATGTTGAATGTTCGACTTTTAAACTTTATGTCTTGTGAGCTGATTGATTGAGTTGAATAATAGAAATTGATCTGTTGGAATCGATTAGTTGTTTTGAGCGTTTTTATTGGTACTGATGCTAGTTGTCTTCCTCAACTGGATGACATTAGTTTTTTCGATTAGAAATGAAACCTATAGGAGGTATTAACATAGATAAACGAACAGAGTAAAGACATTACTGGAATAAAGACAAAAAAGGCCTCGGTTGGTGTGGTGGATATCATGTGAACCTTTGTGAAAGCAATCGCAGTTTTGAAGCCCAACACGGGTCCGAGTTATGCACGTACCTCTGCACCTTTATAGATATAGGTGGTATTTTCAGACGTTTATGTGGTAAATAGAGTTTTCTTTAGATAAAGAAACGTTGTGGTGGTAGAGCATATCTCTCATGTAAATCGTATTTCTTCACCGCTTCGATAAAAGTACCGAATCTATTTTTACAAGTACTAAAGTACAAGACCTAAAGTACTATTGCTTCTATCTGTCTCTCAAAAAATTATTAGAGCGCTCTATCCTAGAAACGTGGAGGATCTCTGGTCGCCTAATGGTGACGAAGTGCTCCATCATCGATCCTGATTTTTGAAAACAAAACTGACTTTTGAATCCAGTAATAGGATTACATTCACATGGAAAGGTGGATCTAAACGTACTAAACATAGCCGATATTGGTGATGAACGAACTGCGTAGTTTGACTATGCTGGTGGTTGTGCTCAGGTTCTTCCATTACCTTATTGGTCTGTCCCAATCGATACATTCGGCTTCCCGGCCACCATCACAATGAACATCTGATTCGATTTTTCACCGCACTTTTACCCTATATTGTATTAAATTAGTGTTATTATTACTTTTCTTGTTTGCCTGGTGATCGAATGTGCCATCGAAGTGCTCTCACCCTCTCTATCTCTTTATCTCTTCTATCTCCTCAAGTCTTCCTTTCTCTCTCCTTTTATTCCATTTTATATCCCAGTCTCTGTACATAATTGTTTAATGATTCAATCGTACCATTTTTCTTCCTTTATTTCGAGAATTTACGGTGCTGTTTATAAGAGTTTTATTGAGTAATAAGATATTTTCTGAACGGTTCATTTTTATTTTTATTTTCTTCCTATTTATACAATCTGATATCCGTGCTGAGATGTACAACGGTGGCAGGGTCTCCCAAGATGAGAAGCTGTCCTGATATCAAAGTCGCATGGTGGCAAATTTCCCTCTGATCCACATGGGCTGCGACTGCCTGTGGTGGTAAAGAACCGGGGCAGACTTCTGCCATTCTGAGCTCATGATTCCAGGGAACCACAATGGCTAAACCAGCAACTCTCCGAAAAAGTGAAGGTTATGCTGGGGTCCACAAAATCAGTGAGGATGGGCCATCCAAGTATAATCTGATATCACATAATGTGCAAACCCTTGCGTTTCTTTTCATTCGCTTCGTTTTCGCAAATCCATCATCCACGAAAATGTTCGGATTGTCATGTGGCTTCGGCCGCCATTAAAGAGCTTTTGGTATTTTTCTTCATTAAATTCGGCCTGTTTTATTCTTTTCTAACGGCCGAACATAGAATTTCAGGGGGTCACTGCAAAATTCGCTGCCTTTGTGGGAATCTGTTGTTTTCGAGGGCAGATTTCCTTCCTATCCGTAAGAACCGCTCGCCGTCCATGATGACAAGCTGAGAAAAATACTTACAACAAATAAACGGCTCTGAAGAAGGCGAAACCGCCGAAACGTCAGCTATTGTGTTCTAACAAATTCTATAATAACAACCTCGTGTCTGCTTATTGAAGAAAAACATTGAAGCTGAGAACACCCTAATTCTGTTATATCGGATTTCCAAGGTAAATGAACTCTCCCAGCATCCACCATGACAGTATGAGAGCCTAACAGATCTTCAAGATATTTCCGAAGCCATATACGTGCTTCACCACCTCTGTGAATGATGGATCCAACACAAGGGGACAAACGGAGGCAGTGCTAAGACCCGAATAGTATTTAGAGATCGTCAGAATAGTATGCTGGTAATTTTGAAAAGTTAGGTCGGGGTATGATACACATCAGGAGGTACAAAGTACTGGGTTGCTGGGAAACCAGTGAGGTGAACTCACTTTCTTTCCCGCTTTAAAACCTGCTTCAAGCTTGTTTCTTTTTCCGCTTTATTGGACGACACTGGCGTTATAACTTTGTTACAGTTTACGATTCCTACGAGATCATCATCTAGTCTAAACTGCTTGCCGTGAGGCATTTAGAGAAGAAAGAAAAAATACAACCACAATGATGCTGAGATTTTTGCAAAACTCTGGACAGCAGGTGTCTTCGGTGGGGAACGAACGCTCTATTACCCTTTCCGGTGGCTAACGCATTCACCACCACACCATACGGTTTCTTCTTCCAACTGTCTCTCAGCTAATACTATCGACCAGCGCCATCAGCAACCCCTTGTCAACGGGATTGATCTAGGAAGCTCAAATCGGCAACGAACCCAGTTAAGCTGAGGCTATAGTCGAAATCACAATGTTAGCTTCTTTATTTACTCCCTATTACAATTTTTCACGGCAGGGTATTACTCAGGGTTTGTAGCCGATTTGGGCTATCTAAATCTATCCCGCTGATGGGTGATTGTTGATGGCGCTGATTGGTAGAACTAGCTGAGAGACAGGCGAAACGAAGGTCTTGCATGATGTGGTGAGGAACACATTAGTTCTCTGAAAGGGCAATAGCGCGTTCGCTCCCCACCTCGGACACTTACGATCTGGAGTTTTGCCAATAAGGTTTATCTAAACTTCCATTCCCTCAATGTTTTTCATGATTATTAAAACTCAAAACGAGTTATCGGTCTCATTCGAAACCTCAGCTACGAGTAAATCTATGTCAGAAATAGAGGGAACCGATTTATAAGCCAGAAAACCTCGATGCGATCGGCTAAGGTTCACTCGATTCTTCACAGTGACTGCCGACCAAGTAATGACGCTTTACTAAGTAAGTAGGTTTTAGCAGCTCGTATTTTCTGATACGTAGGCGAGTAATACGAAGGCGAAAGCATTCATCATTAAATTTTCAGCACTTTCTATACTCCGTAATAGATCGGAAATCTTTTGATCGAATGACATTCATTCATAGTGCAACTATTAAACACTTTTATGTATTCTTTCTTTAGTAAGCTTACACGAGGTTTGTAAATAATGTTTATTTGCAGCTGTCGTTTCAACGGTTTCGTCTTAATCAGAGCCGATGATCCGAGTCGATGGTCCACAGTTCTTCGTGTTCTCGAAGTGGCGTCTTCGTCCCGCATCGAGCTGGATCTTCCTCAATGGAGCATCTCTCTCTAATAAGCCGTACCCACTCGGCGATGCCCTTTTACGCAGGATGCTGGCTGTTGATAGTTCCGATTGTCCAGTGATAGCAACAGATAGCAACTTTTTTCCGCAGAATCCATCCTGTAGAAGTCTTTATCATTATCAGCTGGTACAAGGCGTAACAATATTTGAAGACTGACTTTCACAAAAAATTAAACTTGAAACAAAACAAACAAACGAGTGAATTGAAACCCTTTCAATAAAAACTGAAGTTGAAATGTATGTATAACACAAAGTAACATGTGGACAGTGCCCATATTGCAAAAAAATAATCGTTTAAGGGA